CGATTAGAAGTTCTCACTTTACCATTTGCTTTCACTTAGAATTGTCTCCCAAAATTCTTACCCAACCAGAATATTGGTTACAAATTCCATCCCGCCTTGGTGGTATCAGTGCCCTTCTGGGATTCGAGACAGAGTCATGCGCACCACGCAACAGTGTTAACCCCTCGTAACACCATCACGAATTCCAGTGTATCCCTTTCAAAGCGAGTAAGGCCTTTATAATGAGGTTGTTGCTGAGGCAAAGTTGTGTGTATCGGTACAATCGAGGATATTAATCTACACTAAATTGGCATGTTTAAAATCACATCCCACCTAAAATTAAGAGGGAAATTCAACTATCGGTCCCACTTTATCTTGAGCGAATGAATAGAAATTTTTCGCTAATTGAAAATATTTGACTTTTGGTTGTGCACATGAAAGAGATTAAACTGAACTTCTAGCCTATGTTGTCGTGTCTTGACTGGAAGCAGCAGTTTTTTGTAGTCCCACAAGAACTGATGCCAATTGTACTCACGAATATAGCAAGAAATGTTTTGAGTTGACAGTGAATTTCAAAGTAAAATCATATCTTTTCTTTAATTTATTCAATTTGTCAGTCTCTGCAATTCCATACGAAAAAGGTGGATCTTACCAAGATATCATCTATAAGATGGCAATATCCCAAAATACACTAACAACATTTAATCAGATGTATTCAGCCTATTTCATTTATGGTGATGAAGAAATGGTAATCGAATTTTACCAAAATTATCTGAGTAGGCCTCGTGTTTCCATTGAATTCCACAATGCCTTGCCTGCCAAAAGGTATTCCCATGCAGTTTTGACGTCGCATTAATCAGCACCCGGATGGTAAAGTGTATGCTCTAGACATATTAACCACCTGTCAGACTTTCCGGAGTGCCTTTAGGTTACAGAACAGAAGAGAATTTTAAGGAAGCATAGCCCTTTCCCATAACACATTTCATTTATGGGTTTTTCGACAAAGCAAAGTTGTATTTGCTGTCGCTACAGTCGACTACATAACTTACTTTTGTTTTGTCAGTAGGTTTTAGAGACTACCAGTATAGCTCTTATATCACATCTACTAGTAGTCTCGAAAACCTACCTACTAAACAAAACATAAGTATTGTAGTCGATTCTGCTACTGCTTCACCACAGAAATGACATATGGTAAAGTCTTAGGCTTTCTTGATCGTCATTTGTGACCTATCGCCCAAAGAAACTCTTGACAGTGTGGCGTGGCGTTTAACGTGTCGATATTATACGCTGCACTACCACAAATCTGGTTCGAGGCCCACCGGGGGTGCGGATGGAACTCAGACGAAGTCAGAAATGCAGTTCAGCCTGAAAGAGAATAACTTTTGGAAAGCAAGACTATGCGAAATTTAAAGAAAAATGAGGTCCATTTATTGCATGGAAATTCAACGGCCAATAGCATACTACCTTAAATGAAATAGAGAGAATATAGCTCTTATATCAGATCTACTGATAGTCGCAGGACCCTATTAATTAGACAAAAATAATAATATTTTTCGCATTTTATGTATTGTTTCGAGACTACCAGTAAATCAGTCATATGAACATTATTCACCCAATTTCGTGTAAGGTGTTGAAGGACTGGTAGAAGAATTTTCTCACAATGATATGAGCAAGGTTGTGTGAAATTCAATGGATACGTCAGCTCTACTCATATCGTTGTAGGAAAATTCTTCTACCAGTCCTTCAACACCTTACACGAAATCGGGTGAATACATTTCATATTACTAATTTATTGGTAGTCTCGAAACAATACTTAAAATGCGAAAAAGAATGTAACGTAGTCGATTGCTATAGCAAATATACGTTTATTTCATCGACAATCCCACCAAAGAATATGAAATGGCAAAAGGCCTGGCATTCCCTAAAATTCACATTTGCCCTCTGACCCAAGGGGATTCGTGGCAATGTGGCCGTCAAACTCCCATTCTGCACTGTCACGGTTAGACTCCCGCTGGAGGTGTTGATAAGACCGCTGTGAGGTCGAAACTGCAGTCCACTCCAGCCGGGATGAGAACAACTTTTGGGAAAGCAAGGCTATGTGAAATCCAATGAAAACGTCAGCTCTACTCATATCATTGTGGAAAAATAATAATCCCTTATTTACTGTGTGAATCCGATTTTTTCCTTTTTGGTATCATCTGCAACCAAAATGCCCACTCCACCACTACCCCTAAAAGCTGGGTTTAAACGGACTGACCGAACTCGAGCTCGAAGACGCTTTGAGCTGTCAAGTGTCGGTTATGCAAACTCCGGGCGTCTCTGGTGCACAACAGCTCCACGAGTTGCTATCACATCGGCTGGATCTCACGCTTGAAAAGCAATCTGACGCGATTAACTCGCCCAACAATGGTCTATCGTCAACAGTGCCCCCTGTGATTCGTGTTCCCGGTCTTTTGTGGGCCCGTCTGAAATATGAGTTGTCAGACTGGCTGGTGAAAAGTGGAGTGGACAATGTTATGACGGTTTCCTGGCGGGAAGAAGCATTTGCACGGGTTGCTGTACGCAGGTAGCAGGACGTATACGTCCCCAAGTGCTTTTTATTAAGCGCATAACTGACCATTTATGATTAGTGCTCATTCTATTTAAGCATGCCCTAAAAAAGAAGTATTAAACGACTCCCAAGACTACAAATGTTGCGGAATATTCATTGAAGTGGCATTTAGCTTATTGGCTGATTTTATTACCAACTAAGTTTACTTATTAAAACGTCAAACCGGAATACACTTTAAGCACACATTTTATATATTCTAGCTAGCCTATATGTGCTGTATTCACCATACCTAATGAATACAATTCTTATATCAGAATTACGAGTAGTCTCGAAAACCTACTCATAAGATGAGCAATTTTAGCTTTGCACATTCTTCTCATTAGACTGCATACCGGGAATCATAATGAAGCAATAGAAAGTGTCTAAGAGAGCTTTCATAGAAAATCTGAAAATAGGTCTTGATTTAGATAAAAGGGCCATAAACCGGAAATACAAGGGCTTATTCAGCCAAATTTGTTCTACTTAAATTTTCTAAAGAGTGAAAACTTTTTTCATAATTACAAATATTAGTCAAATCAAATTAAAAAACCATTTTTTTGCTAAGCATAGATTTTGCCGAATAGAAAGCTTTTATCAAATCTTTAGACAATTATGGAGTAATTGTACTGAAAATCAGTCGAGTTGGCATTTTAAATAGTTAACGAACTTGAATAGCAGTCACAAGTACAATAAACAAGGTCTAATACAAGGCCACAAATACCCTATTTCTTTTGTATTATTCCTAGCTTATTTGATGAATAATATGCATTTTATAAATGTATAGGCTTTGTCTAGTTACGAATTCAACCAAACAGAAAGCCACACCAACATGGTCTTCATATTTACGATTTATCTCATTAATATTGGCGTGACCAGGACTTTGAGTCTCCTGGGTTGCTGTCTGGGCTCACAGAAAAGACCTACCTAGGACATAAATTACGGAAAAAATCAAAGGAAAGGACAATCTTTTCTTCAAACCAGTCTTGATATCTCAACCTATAATCAATTTTAAATTTTATTTTTTACAATGGGCTCATTTAGTCTCATTTAAAAAATCCAGCTTTTTCACAATCTGAGCTGTATGTACGTCTTATGAATTAGTCATAAAGTAGAACAAAATTAATCACAAAAGACAAGTTGTGCCTTCATATTGAAATGTTATTCTATCTTATTTGAATATACGAAATGTCTATCAGATACGCTTCACCTTCAGATGACTGGGAATCAGACTCAACAGAAAGGCATCATCAACCAATTCCTCTACTTCAAGTCCATGCTCATTTGGCTAGTGTATTGGGAGCAGAAAAGCCCTACTACCAGGCAAGCGCTTACACTCTATAATAAAATCTGAAATACTTTCAATGGACCCTTTATTTACTACGAAAAATTGGGGAAAGGTTTTCGAACATTGATATATTTGGTCGCATTGG